AATTCCTCTAGTCCTCCTGGCCTCCCGGTCCCAGCTAACGGGTGATGCTCGCTGGCAGGCCAGCTGGTCAGTACTGTCTTATGACTCTGGGAAATGACCCTCTTTGAACCTTCAATTTCATCATCTGTAAAAAATACCACCTTCGCTGGGTTGCGAGGCCAAAATTTGCTACACAGCAGTCACCAACGTTAGTTCCTTTCTTTCCCCTTTTCTGGGTCAGCTTGGGCGTTGTTTAAGGTTCCTGAGAGAGACCGTGGGAAGCGTCTCCCAGCTTCCCCCATCCCTGCCCAAGACCAGGCAAGGTTCTGCTTTCTCTCAAATCTGCCTGTTTCAATGGAAACCCAGTCCCCGCTCGCGTTTCCCGAGGTCAATCGGATACCCCTGAGGGCGGCCCAGCCTCCCGGCCCCGAGCGCCCTGCACGCCCTGGTCGCCCCGTGGAGCCTCGGCCTCGGCTCCCGGCTGCCTACCTTCTCCTGGGCCCTGCTGAACTTCTTCTGCACCTGCTTGGCGAAGAGGCCGGCGGCGCCGCTCGCCCTGCCCTCGGCCATCCTGCCAGCTCCCCAGGGGCAGCAGGCCCTGGCCCGGAGCCCTGTGGTTTTCTCTGGGCCCCTGAGGAGGAAGCGAGGTTCCCGGCATGCCTCGCATCCGGTCGGGCGGGCGGGCCTCGCGACGCACACCCCGCCCCGCCGCCGCCGCCTCGGGCTCACCCTGGGCTGCCCGAGGCTGCCTGAGGCCCAGGGCGCCCGGCCCTCACGGAGACCCTTGCAAGGCCCACTCGAGGCCCAGCCGGTGGCGCCCCGGGGCCCTACCCCGAAGCCCGTCCGGCTCCCGGGTGCGGCCCGGGGAGGGGCCAATGGGGCACCTGTGGGGCTCAGGCGGGGGCTGGGCCTGCGCCTGTTCCCAGGAGGCGGGAAAGGCGGGCCTGCCCTCAGGCGGCGCTCCAAACCCTCCGGCCCTGAGGTAGAGGAACACCAGCCCCGTTGAAGAGTTTGCAAACGTGCGCCAAGACTCAGTGTTCCCCGAGAGCCAAATTAGCTGTAACCGATTAGCGGCAGTGTGTGTGTGTGTGGGATAACTGAAACAAGGGGGTAGAAAATACTGCGATTTCCACTCAGCAAGAGGGTTGTATAAGGGACTTCTCTGGTGGCGCAGTGGTTGAGAGTCCGCCTGCCAAAGCAGGGGACACGGGTTCGAGCCCGTGTTTGAGCCCTGGACCGGGAAGATCCCACATGCTGCGGAGCAACTAAACCCGTGCGCCACAACTACTGAGCCTGCTCTCTAGAGCTGGTGAGCCACAACTGCTGAGCCCCATGTGCCACAACTACTGAAGCCCGTGCTCCACAGCAAGAGAAGGCACCGCAATGAGAAGCCCATGCACCGCAAGGAAGAGTAGACCCCGCTCAATGCCCTAGAGAAAGCCTGAGCGCAGCAATGAAGACCCAACACAGCCATAAATAAATAAATAAATAAAAAGAATGTTGTATGGGAAAACGGGTTTGACTTACATGGGTGTGTGTACTGGGTCACCAAGTAAAGTTTCTTACTCCAGGGTGCAGTTTTTAAAGATGGAAACCCTCTACCAGAGAGGAGGTTGGCTCTGTCAACTGAAAAAAAAAAAAAAAAAAAGCACAATCTAAAAGTTGAGAATTGCGTTTTATTTGGCGGACAAAACCGAGGACTTAAGCGTGGGACACGGCCTCTCAAGTAGCTCTGAGAGACTGCCGGGAAGAGGTAAGGGAGGAGCCAGGGTATGTAGGAGTTTTTGCAACAAAGACCAGGTTGTCAGAACATCAAAAGATTATGGTTAATTAAAGAAAACCAGATACCTCAAGTTAAGGAATTTGGCACTTTTCTATTTGTGGGAAGATGCAAGAGTCTGGGCTCACTGAAATCACTCCTTTGATATGCACCTCAGCTATCTGGGGCCAGTACGCTGTGTTTTCTCATCCTGAGTCTCCTCAGGGTAAACTGTTGGGGCTGGGGGTGGCTTCAGTGGCTGATGGCTTGATGGTCAGTATCCTGTTTCTATCCTGAGTTCCCTCAGGGCTCACCACTGGGGGAGGGGGTGCTGTAGTGTGATGGCTTGGTGGCTGCAACATCCTTTGTTTACTGATACGGCAGGCAACATTCTTTCACTCACAGCTCTAAACCTAGATCTGGTAGGGGTAGGCTGAGCAAAGGGGACAGAACTCCACATCTGGACCTGAAAGGGAGGAACAACTGAGCTAGAAGTAGAAACAAGGATGCTTAGGAAAGGAGAGGACCTTTATTGAAAAAAGGCTGAGGATGAAGGTATGGAAGCCTGTGCTGGGGGTGGGGAGCAGATTTTTCTGGCTGGAGGAACTAGTACAGTGTACTAGATGGAGAGAGGATATCAATTGTGTAACTTGGGATGGGACTGCTCAGATTATAACAGTTTCTTCTCTAGGTAGTAGGTCTCCAAATGAGTTACTCCCTGGGACTTCCCTGGTGGCACAGTGGTTAAGAATCCCACTGCCAACGCAGGGGACGGGTTCGAGCCCTGATCTGGGAAGATCCCACGTGCCGCGGAGCAACTAAGCCCATACGCCACAACCACTGAGCCCATGCCACAACTACTGAAGCCCACACGCCACAACAAGAGAAGCCACCGCAATGAGAAGCCTGCGCACCGCAACGAAGAGTAGCCCCTGCTCGCTGCAACTAGAGAAAGCCTGCACGCAGCAACGAAGACCCAAAGCAGCCAAAAATAAATAAATTAATTAATTAAAATAAAACTCAACTTAATTTCTAATGCAGAGAGGACCACATTTTAAAAAAAAAAAAGAAAGAAAAGAAAAGAAAGTAACTCCCTGACATGTTTGAGGGGATAGCTGGGAATTAGGACTCTGGGTTTGGAGGAGCTGCTCACTCAAGGATTTTATAGTACAAGTAAAATGCCCCGAAAGAAAGGAAGAGGGACAAAATACACTTCCTAAGGACTGGCGAGGGAAGCTGGAGGTCTGAGACAAAATTGGAGGGCCTTCTCTGCTATTGTTTTTCAGGTCATTCCCCCAAAAAGGCATATTGCACTCAGGGTCAACCATGTGACAGGCATTGCTGAGTGTTGGGGAAGCCAAGAATAAATTTTAAAAATGTGATCCCTGGGCTTTCCTGGTGGCGCAGTGGTTGGGAGTCTGCCTGCCAATGCAGGGGTCACGGGTTCGTGCCCTGGTCTGGGAAGATCCCACATGCCGCGGAGCGGCTGGGCCCGTGAGCCATGGCCGCTGAGCCTGAGCGTCCGGAGCCTGTGCTCTGCAACGGGGGAGGCCACAACAGTGAGAAGCCCGCGTACCGCAAATAAATAAATAAATAAATAAAATGTGATCCCTGACTTCAAGATGCTTAATGTCTGGAAGTTGAGGTAGGTTGTTAATCAGATGTTTATAATGTTATGTGCTTAATTCATTTCTAGAAATGGATACAAAAATTTCAAGTAATAGGTCATTAGGGTTTATTCTGTTATAACGCTAGCTGTGGGGATGGTCTAGAAGAGGCAAAGTGAAGGAAATGGAAGGACTTCACGGTGGGTGGGGAGAAGTGGGGGCAAGTGGGAGGACTGTGGTGCTGTGGGAACACTGAGGAGAGATGGCGATGACAACAGGTGTGTCACTAGCAGAAGGAGGCTGATACCTGGGTCACTGTCAGGAATCCTCAGCAGTGCAGCCCAGCCACTGCTTCCTAAGAAACCGTCTTCATTGCCAATCCCTTGGGAACTGAAATTGGTCGTCACCAAATCATATAGTATTATTAGAGCAGGAAACATCTTTAGAAGTTAACTAGGTAGGGAAACTGAGTAACAGAAAGGGCTGGTGACTTGCCCAAGGTTACCCAGTTCCTCAGTGGCAGTGAATTGTGAGTTGGGAATAAAGGTGTCCTGTCTAGCCCAGCTTCTTTTGGTGTATACACCGTTCTAGAGGCCTCTGCTGACACAGCAGCCTATAAATTGCAAGACTGGTCTTAGCCAGTTTCTCCTGCTGTAATGTTAACTCTCCCGGTACCTCTTGTCTGGTCCTCAGCGATCACTATGAAAAGCTACTTGTCACCCTCTTAGCCTTCTCCTTTCAGTTCCTTCTTCACTCTATCACAGGCCACTCTAACAGACTGAGCCCTGGCCAGGATAGGACAGAATTATCAGCTTCCCAGTTCTCTGTGGTTTATAGAACCCCGGATCTGTTGCTTATTTTTGTCCAGCCTTGAAGTGCTGACTCATACTTAGTTTGAGACCACATATTATTTTCCCCTCAACCCTTTCCTTTCTTTGTTCCTTATCTTCTTTTCTCCTTTTTTCTATTCTTTCCTCTCTGTCTCCTTTCTAATTTGTCACTTACGTTGTCTGCTGGCATCTGACCTACCACCTAATCCTGTATTCCTATCTTTAGTGTATCCTTGTAGTTGCCATGACTCAGAACCTTGGGGTGAACACTGTTCTAGGCACTGAAGGGAGAAACAAAAGAAGGACAAGCCTACAGTCTACTTGGGAGAGTCAGGGCACATTTCGTCACTCAGGAACATTTTAAAGCCCTCTGTGCCTTTGACTATAGCAAATATGTTTGGGAGGAGGGACAGATGGGCAGATTAATGGATGAGTAGGTCCTAACATAATCCAAAAAGGACAATGTAAGACCACTCTCACTTGGCTTAGTTTGTGAACTGATAGAGATGGCAGCAAATGGAAGAACGAGCCCAGAAGTGTGGTGAAATCCAACTCAGGCCCTGTAACTGCATTTCCACTAGAGGGCTTAATTACAAATAAAAAGACACAGGGGCCTTCCCTGATGGCGCAGTGGTTGGGAGTCCGCCTGCTGATGCAGGGGACATGGGTTCGTGCCCTGGTCCGGGAGGATCCCACATGCCGTGGGGCGGCTGGGCCCGTGAGCCATGGCTGCTGAGCCTGTGCATCCGGAGCCTGTGCTCCGCAACGGGAGAGGCCACAACAGTGAGAGGCCCGCGTACTGCAAAAAAAAAAAAAGACACAGGGTAATATATATATTCAATTTTATTTGCATTTCTGCATCTGGCTCAGTAGTCTGTTAGAATGGTTTTTCCTGGATGGCCTCAAGTCCTGCTGTGGATCTAAGAATCATCTTGGGAAGGCCGTTGGACCCAAGAAAATGTTCAGTTGTTGGCAGTGACCTGAACGAAAAACCGGTTATATCCAGTCAGTAACTTCTGCCCACCTCCTTTCTTTTCCCTTCAGGGCTCCCAGTTGAGCATGGCCCTGTACTGGGTTTATGGGGGGGGGGGGGGCAGGAAGTAGTTCTCAGCTGTGTCAGGGCAATTCAGTGTTATAGGCACATACTCAAGACTCAGTGTCAAGGGCAGACCTTGAACCGGTTGTGAGTCAAGGTTCATACCACAAGACTCCAGAATGTGTTTGAAGACTGGAGGGTATAGGTGTGAGGCTCTACCACCAGGTCAGTGTAGGTATAGTCTCACCTAACCCTCAAGCATTGTTTAAGGTGGTAAAACCTCTTGGCAAAGGGTAGAGCAAATTCCCATGATGCCCTTAGAAAGAACTGGTGGAGGAGAAGGTTAGTGCCTCTTCCCTCGCCCAGGAGAGGGAAGCCATTTTCCCCTTGGCTTTGACTTTGGACAGCACTGATATGTACCTGGTTCAGATCTGCTGTTGCCACCACCCACCTTACCCTAAGCAGTAAACAGTACAGTGAAGCATTCTTAGTGGGTATGTGAAGTGGAACTCAGGACGGCAACGTTATCGAGCGAAAGTACACTACGGAGGAAGGGAAAGGAGTAAACATTTGAATGCGGTGAGGAAGAGGATGGCTTCCCCTGCTTAACTTTTGCTCCCCAACCCAGCCAGTGCTTGGGTCTCCAGGTAACCCTATTTCAAACCATCATTTGAGAGGACTCACGTTATTTATCCAAGAGATGTAAGCAGAGACCCGAGTGAAGACTGTGGGCTTCCTGGAGACATTACAGCCCAGGCTGGACACGAAGCTGGTCACACCGTGGACAGTGTACTGGCCATTCACCAAGCAATGAAGGGGACCCCCAGAATCACCCTGTGGAGAGGAGAAGCAGTGTCCTAAAACGCCACATCTTTTGATCTTTGGGCCTTTGTTTCTGCTTACACCCACCCACCCCCATCTCTTTGTACAATCCTGTACTGTTTAAAAGCTCCAATTAAGATCCCCACTTCCTTCATATCCCCTCAATCAAGATGAACCTCCTCTTCCTTTCTAAACGACCATAGCACTTCTTCCTTTCTTTTGTAGCACTCATGTCATGTTCTGCCTTGTGTTTTGGTTTCATAATTTGTTTCTATCTCCCACGCTTATCTGTGAGCTTCTTGAGACAGGAACTGCATCTTACTGATATTTTCCTCTCCACGATGCTAGCATAGAACTTTGAACATCTTAGGCTCAATAGCTGTTACTGACTTAAATTGAACCTGGGGTGAGGGGAATAAGTTGTTCTAATGATTTATTTATCCCCAGCATTCAGACCAACGGGTCTAATTAGACTTAGCCTTTAGACACAGGGTAGGTAGTCAAACCATGTTAAACTAAACCGGCGTAAAGAGAAGAGAAAGTGATGTATTGGGTAGTGGTTACGTGCTCGGGCTTAGAATCAGACAAACCGGAGTTTACAGACTGTGACCTTGACACTCGTTTCCTTACTCAGTTCCCAGAATGTCAGTTCTGTGATTCCAGACATAAAATTGGAAGATATTTCTTTGGAGAATCTGATCAGCACAAGAGGGAAGATCTAAAGATACTAACATTGTAAGTCCCCCAATGAAATGGCCTAGCCAGATCCCCTGACAAAGCAGTTCACTATAGATGAACACCACCTAAGGCTCAGAGCTACCTATCAGCTCTTCACTGTCCGACTCTGAAATAAGAGCATATGGTCAAGGATGACCAAACATCTGAAGAAAGCCTCAATTATAAAGATCAAGGGGCTTCCCTGGTGGCGCAGTGGTTAAGGATCGCCTGCCAATGCAGGGGACACATGTTCGAGCCCTGGTCCAGGAAGATCCCACATGCTGCAGAGCAACTAAGCCCGTGTGCCACAACTACTCAGCCTGCGCTCTAGAGCCCCGTGAGCCACAACTACTGAAGCCCGCACGCCTAGAGCCCGTGCTCCGCAGTAAGAAAAGCCACTGCAATGAGAAGCCCGCGCACCGCAACAAAGAGTAGCCCCCGCTCACCGCAACTAGAGAAAGCCCGTGTGCAGCAACAAAGACCCAATGCAGGCAAAAATAAAATAAATTTAAAAATAAATAAATTTAAAAAATTAAAACCTCCTTATTAAAATAAATAAAGATCAAAACAAAGAAATAAAAAATGAAGGCAACCAAGATTATGCAGGGAGAAGAATATAAACAACAAAACTATGATTAATATTGCATCCATGATACAAGAACAGCAAGCTATTAGAGCATTCAGAAAACAAAAAGAGCCTTTGGAAATTATGATAGTAGAAATGAAAGACTGGGTTAGGAGATAAAGCGGACAAAATATATAGAGAGAAAATATGAAAATAAGAGGACCAATTTAGGAGGTAGATGTGTGAATAATGGAAATTCTAGAAAGAGAAAATAAAAATGGAGGGGAGGAAATGATCAATAAATAAACATTTTCAGAAGCAAAGATCTGCAGTTTCCAGAATGAAGAAACCCACTAAATGTCCCTCAGAATGAATGCAGATAGACCCATACCAAGATACAGAACAAGAGAAGATAAAATAGGTCACTTATAAATTAGTGGAGAGTTTGGGGCTGAACTGGTGATAAATTGAGTATACATTATGCAAATTTAAAAAGACAATTATTAACCCCAGGGAAAACAAAATTATGCAGGGAATAGCATTTTACATAATCATAATAAATACTAAATGTTAATTTAACCAAAATTATTTGGGGAGGTTGTGGGTGCAGATAGCAAAGTTCATGCTGGGGGCAAGTATATATGTGTAAAAGGAAGAGAGGTTGCACACCTTGCATAATGCCTGAGCTGAAAAATTAAGTGGCAATATAAGTATATGCTTTTAGAGAGGTGGAAGGAGACACTGAAAGAAATCAGCTGAAGAGTTGACAGTGGTCCCCTCTAGGGAGGGAGAGCTTGAGGTGGTGGAAGGAACACTATGTTCTTTCCCACTATTGGGCCTCATCGTTTTACTGGCCACCTTAAGCAGTTTAATACACATAGCTTCAATAAAAATTAAAACTTAAAAAAAGAAGAACTAGGGAAAGAGACCAAAAGTTCAAATTGCGGATAACTCTTTTAAAAAGGAAATAGCTGTACCCCATCCCAACTATGTTTAGGAAAAGAAGATGCTTCCTTTAGACTATTGTACTCAACACAAAACAAAACAGTTTAAATATCTTCCACTCAAATTCTAATAGGGGTTTGATAGTATTTCTAAGCTAGAGGAATGGAAGGTAATTGAATTGTATATCATATGATTTTCTTATGCTAATTGACCTGAAAAGAAACAAAGACTGTAGCGATGGGGGGTGTGGCTGAGGATATCAGGGCAGAAGGAAGAGCTGGGAAAGAGCTCGGTGGGAGACGGTGGTGGATTGAGGTGAGAGGGGCTTAGTGAATCCACTCTGAGGAAAAGGGCTGGGACCCAGAAATCTGAAAGCCCAGAAAACAAAGACACAATATTTGGGAAATTCCAGTGGGAAGAGACCTGGCGACACAGTCGCTTCAGAGAATTGCCTATCTGGAGTGGCAGCAAGAAGAAAAGTACTCTAGTTTTTCAGAGTTCAAGGCCTTGAGAGAGAGCGAAGTGAATTAAACTCAGAAAGGTTAAACCTTAAGAGGTTATAGGTGAAGGTGGCTGGTGAGGACCTGTAAGAGCTTGACTTATGTGTTTGTTAGACCTTCGCGGTCCCCTAGGAGTTTCGACTCGCCCAGGAAACAGCAAGAGTCGGAAGCCGATGCAAAACGCAAGAGGTTTATTGAAGGCCGGTGCACCGGGGTTCCTTGGTCCTCACGCAGGAGGTCGAAGAAGGAACCCCTTTTGGGCGCGAATATGTCAGTTTTATAGGTTCCCACTTCCCCGTATGTAAATTATAGATTTGGTTGAGTTTTCCTGCTGATTGGTCCCGGCTTAGGCTCGGACCAGAGAGGGAACTTGTCCCCAGCTTCCTGATTGGTCTTTGACAGATACCTTTTTTACATTTTGTTTATCTCCCTCCTTCTCGGAAGGGGACCGGACATCCTGGAAATTCACCCATTGTCTAAGAAGCCCCTATTGTCTGGAGAGTTCTTAATCATTAGCTGGAACAATGTCCCTCGAGTCCCACATGTTCATCTTTTTTTTTTTTTGCCCCAAGTTGCAGGTAGGGTTCCCAGGATATAGGACTTCTAAGTTTTGACACTGGTGTGGACAAAAAAATGTTGCCTGCCATGTCAGTAAACAAAGAATTTTGCCTTCCATTCTGGGAAACAAGGAATGTTGCCTGTCATCAAGCCACCAGCCACTGCAGCCACCTTCCATATCCTGAGGGGATTTCAGGATGGAGAAAAATGATACTGGCCCTAGATAGTTACAATGCATATCAAAGGAATGATTTCTGTAAGCCCAGACTCTTGCATCTTCCCAAACACAGAAAAACACTAAAATCATTCACTTGAAATGTCTGTTTCTTGTTATTAGCAGTAATCTTTGATGGTTGTCTCCATGTTTTTTTTTCAGCAAAAACTCTAATATATCCTGGCTCCTTCCCTTACCTCTTTGGAACAGTTGCTCAGAGCTGTCTGAGAGGCTGTCTCCCGGGGTTTTGTCCTTAGTAAGATCACTGAATAAAACATAACTCTCAACTTTTAGGCTGTGCGGTTTTGTTTTGTTTTCAGTTGACACTGGGGAAGTCCTGGGAAAATTGGGATGAGTTGCTCACCTTACTTCCGTAGTTCTAACTGCTTACAAAAAAAAAAACCCTTTAGGGACTTCCCTGGCGGTCCAGTGGTTGGGACTTAGCCTTCCAGTGGGGGGCGGGGGTGTGGGTTCGATCCCTGATTGGGGAGCCAGGACCTCACATGCCCTGCGGCCAAAGGGCCAAAACATAAAACAAAAGCAATATTGTAGCAAACTCAACAACTTTAACTTCAACAACTTCAACAACAACATGACAACTTTAAAAATGGTCCACATCAAAAAAAAAAAAAAATCTTTAAAACAAACACACAAAAAACCCTTTAATCTTTGATTCTACTATTTCAGCCAGCCTACCAGCCTCCTTCTCCACCTAGCTTGGAGCTTGCATTTGATCTGCAATCTTGTCTTTATGTCCCAATAATGCATGAAAACCCAGCCCTGGATTAATCCATTCCCTACAACTAGATCTTTGAATGGAGTGAATCATATATCCATTATGATTATTGCATGGTCTCCAACCTCAGCCTATATCAGTAACATCATGGAGGCCAGTCTTTCTAAACCCATTCACCTTAATCAGTCCAGACACAAACAACCCTTGTCCCTTCATTTTCAGCATTTAATCTGACTCCTAGTTCATGAGTAAATAGAAGCAAGATTGCAGAACACCTGCCAACTTCCAGCTACCCAGCCTGCACTCTCTTTCATGTCCATGCACATTTTTGTGTCCCTCTTCTGTTCAAGGCCAGCTCCACCTGTGCTCTTGGTTCATCTCTTCCTTCTCCTCCGGGATCTTGTGTCATCCATTTTTTCCCTCTCTCCAGCTCTACAGGATCCTTTCCTCTCTGCCCAGAAACACACTTAATTTTCTTCCCTCTTAAAAGATCCACCCCCTCCATGACTGTCATCCTCCTTAAAGCTACCAGACTTGTAAAATTCCTCACTTTCATCCAAGATTCTTGAAAGAGTATTCTACGTTCTTTGCTATGTTTCTTTCTTTCTTTCTTTTAAATTGGAGTATAATTACTTTACAATGATGAGTTAGTTTCTGCTGTACAACAAAGTGAATCAGCTATATGTATACATATATCCCTCCCTTTTGGACCTCCCTTCCCCCCGCCATCCCACCCATCTAGGTCATCACAGAGCACTGGGTTGAGCTCCCTGTGCCATAGAGCAGGTTCCCACTAGCTATCTATTTTACACATGGTAGTGCATTTATGTCAAACCTAATCTACCAATTCATCCCCCCCCGCCCCTTCCCTGCCCCCTGCCCCATGTCCACACGTCTGCGTCTCTATTCCTCCTCTGCAAATAGGTTCATCTGTACCATTTTTCTAGATTCCACATATATGTGTTAATATACGATATTTGTTTTTCTCTTTCTGACTTACTTCACCCTGTGTGACAGACTCTAGGTCCATCCACATCTCTACAAATGACCCAGTGTTGCCTCTTCATTCCTTACCCTTCAATCAAGCTTCTGCCCTCACCACTCCACTGAAACTGCTCTAACTGTAGTTACCAGTGACCCGCCAACTGTGGAAGTAGCCACTTTCAGTTATTTGCCTCGGCTCCTGGCTGCAAGGCATACTATGTGATGATCTATCAGTATTTCCTGAGATTTTGTGAAACCTTTATTTACTATGCTTTTCTCTTATCTCTTTTTTAGATCCTTACGGGTCCTTTGTCCTCCAACTATCTCTGAAGCACTCAAATATTTATGTTATCACAGTTCTTCCCCCCAGCTCACTGTTTTTTGTTTTTTTTTTCCTCATTCTACCACTTTTCCCTGGGGGAGGTGGGGATGGGGGGTGGGGGACTTTGAGGGATCTTATCTCTAACCTAGCTTTCTCCTTCAGGATCCACTCTCTTTATATATAGTTTCTTACCAGTTAACAATAACTGAATGTCCCACTGGGATCTCAGACTCAACTTGTCAGACTCAACCTTCCCTCCAAAATCCTATAAATATTGTCTCATAGAGGCAACAAACACCTCCCCCAGATCACTTAAATCAGATGCGTGGAAGTCATTCTTGATCCTCCTTCCTCCTCTCCACTGCCCTAATTCGGGCCCTCAGATTTCTTGCCTAGATAATTGCAAGAGTCTCCTAAGCAGTCTCCCTGCTAATCTTGCTCTCTTCAAAAACACGCTTAGGGCTTCCCCTGGGGGCGCGGTGGTTGGGGGTCCGCCTGCCGATGGGGGACACGGGTTCGTGCCCCGGTCCGGGAAGATCCCACATGCCGCGGAGCGGCTGGGCCCGTGAGCCATGGCCGCCGAGCCTGCGCGTCCGGAGCCTGTGCTCCGCAACGGGAGAGGCCACAACAGTGAGAGGCCCGCATACCGCAAAAAAAAAACAAAAAAAAAAACATGCTTACCTTGTCATCAGAGAGTGCTTCTAAAAGGCAAATCTGATCATGCTGTTCTCCGGTTTAGAACTCTTCAGTGGTTTCCCAGTGCCTAAGATAAAGGTTCATGTCCCCAAGCATGACATTTGAAGGCCTAAGTCGTGTGGCTCCTACCTGTCTCCAGTGTCATCTCCTGACATTCCCTAGTATGGTAATAGTTTATGTTCTAGCCCAGAGGTCAGCAAACTTTTTCTGTAAAGAGCCAAAGAGTAAATATCTCAGGCTTTGCAGGCCAGTCTCTCTTGCAATTGTTCAACTCCATGAAAGCAGCCATAAACAATACGTAATGAAGAAGTAAGGCCGTATTCCAATAAAAGTTTTTTATAACGAACACTGAAATTTTATATTTTTCATGTGCCATGACATATTATTCCTTTCTTAATTTGTTCCCAACCATTAAAAAATGTGAAAAACATTCTTAGCTCATGGACCACGTAAAAACAGGCAGCAAGCTGGGCTTGGAGGCTGTGGGCCCTGACCTCTGCTCTAACGGTAGGGAATGCCCTATAATTCTCTATATGTGTTCTAGGTTCTTGGGCCATGCCTTTCTTCATGTTCCCTCTCTCTGAATATCTTTTCCTCTTTTTTTGCCTGGCTTTCTCCTATTTAAGCTTTATGACTCAGTACAGACTCTAGTTTCTCAGGGAAGGCAAGTCTTTTCCGACACCAACAGGCGGAGATAAGTACCTATCTTTTGAACTCCCATATCACCCTATGCATATTTTTGTTATAACACTTAACCACATTGTATTACAATGTTCTGTTCTATGTCTGCTCTTCCCATTCTTCCACTAGACACTGTGTTTATATTTATCTTTGTATCTTTCGTATCTTTCATACAAAGATGAATCAAACACAGTGCCTAGTATTTAGCAGATGATCAAGAATATTTGTTGAACTGCATTAAGAAATCTGCAAACTTATGGTCACCAGAGGATAAGGGTGGGGGAGGGATAAATTGGGAGATTGGGATTGACATATACACACTACTATATATAAAATAGATAACTAGGGCTTCCCTGGTGGCGCAGTGGTTGAGAGTCCGCCTGCCGATGCAGGGGATGCGGGTTCGTGCCCCGGTCTGGGAAGATCCCACATGCCGCGGAGCGGCTGGGCCCGTGAGCCATGGCCGCTGAGCCGGCGTGTCCGGCGCCGGCGCCCCCCAAGGGGAGAGGCCAGAAAAAAAAGGAACAAAAAAAAAAAAAAAAAAAAAAAAAAAAAAAAATATATATATATATATATATATATATATATAGATAGATAGATAGACAGACAGATAACTAATAAGAACTTGCTGTATAGCACAGGGAACTCTACTCAGTACCCTGTAATGGCTTATATGGGAAAAGAATCTAAAAACAAACAAAAAAAGAGTGGATAAATGTATATGTATAACTGATTCACTTTGCTGTACACCTGAAACTAACACATTGTAAATCAACTATACGCCAATAAAAATTAAAAAAGAAAAAGAAATCTGTAAGATGGTGCATTGGTGATTGATCTTGTCTAAATAGAAGACGATTTATATATGTACTATTATAAAACTATTTTGTGCACTTTCCCCTACCATATTCACCTGTATACATTCTGCTATCAATAATATTGGGTCAAAAGGGTGGTGGTGGAGGAGCTCTAAGAAAAATTGGGGTTGATGGGAGGGGAGCTAACTTATACACAGTTACAACCACCACGCCAGGCCTAGCCCCATGGCAGCCATTAAAAATCTAGGGCATAGGGGCTTCCCTGGTGGCGCAGTGGTTAACAATCTGCCTGCCAATGCAGGGGACACGGGTTCGAGCCCTGGTCCGGGAAGATCCCACATGCCGCAGAGCAACTAAGCCTGTGAGCCACAACTACTGAGCCTGTGCTCTAGAGCCCGCGAGCCACAACTACTGAAGCCCGCGCGCCTAGAGCCTGTGTTCCGCAACAAGAGAAGCCACTGCACTACAAGAAGAGTAGCCTCCACTCGCTGCAACTAGAGAAAGGCCACACATAGCAACAAAGACCCAACGCAGCCAAAAAAAAAAAAAAAAATTTATTAAAAAAAAAATCTAGGGCACAAATAACTTCTAAAGAACACTCACATATACCAACACACAAATGTTGGGCCACATACAAACTTTTGAGGTGGGGGAGGGCAACAGGCAAGATGAATTTTAAGGTTCCTTTAAACTTGGAGATTCTGTGAATATAGACCTAGTAGCACAGAATCATTCTCCTTCAGATGCTAGAATACAAAGTTTAGTCTGTACATAGGGGTGGGAGTAGGTGTGAAATAGGTGAGTAAAAGGTGGGGGATGGGAAACAGAGAGGGGAGGGACCTGGGGTGAGACTTCTGACACTTCCCGCCTGTGTTCACCTGGCATCCAGAGTGAACTCCGTCTCCTCCAGCGCACACCATGGTATTCTTCACGGTGGAGCCCCAGTAAGAGGAGCTGGAGCAGGTGGCGTAGTCCACGGTGGGCAGGTAAGCCTGCTGCAGGGTCTGGGCCAGCTGCCCATTGGCTGAACAGGACACACAGCATTGGAGGTCAGCCCCAGCTGCTATCCAGGGAAAAAAAACCTTCCACACCCAGCTAAACCTTGCCAAGTTCTGATGAAAGCTGAGGTCAGGGCAAGTTCCTTTTCTCTGCCCATTGCATGTCATAGATCCTCCTTTTGTCTCTGTATAAAAGCTACAGGCACCTTCCTTTAAGGAGTCATCCTTGACTACGTTCCCAGGTTCCAAACCACTAATCCTATGCCTGCTTTTTTTTTTTTTTTTTAATCTCATGGATACCTTAATTAAGTAACTAGAATGGTCTTATTTGTTAATAACTTATCTGTCCTGCTTCCTCCTTACACTGTAAACCCTGTGAAGCAGAACTGGGACTATGCACCCTTGTTTCCATTTCTTAAGAGCTTTCCTTTATCTGCAATTTTTTTTTTTTTTTTTTTTTTGCTGCGGTACGCGGGCCTCTCACTGTTGTGGCCTCTCCCGTTGCGGAGCACAGGCTCCGGACGCGCAGGCTCAGCAGCCATGGCTCACGGGCCCAGCCGCTCTGTGGCATGTGGGATCTTCCCAGACCAGGGCACGAACCCGTGTCCCCTGCATCAGCAGGCGGACTCTCAACCACTGCGCCACCAGGGAAGCCCTATATGCATTTTTTGACTTTTCAAAGGCTTTGCACATGAATTATTCTTTGGATACTTACAACAATCCTTTCATGTTATATATAGATCAGGAAATTGAACTACAATGACATTGAGTGAACTGGGAGCAGAGCTGGATTACAAGCATGTGTCTCTCTCAGTCCCAGGTTTCCCCAGTAGACTGGCTGCTCCCAGCAAGGCCTTGCCTCCCCTCTAGAGCTCAGATCCTGTCTGATGGCTGACAGCCTTCTGTGCCAGGCCTGCTGTCTCTACCCTTGTTAACTATCTCTGCTCATAGCCTCTCCCACCTTTCCATGTCATCTAATGACTTTTCCTTCCAGAAATCTTCCCATGATTGACCAGAAGAAGCTGAGGCCTCCTCTGCCTCGACTCCTCTGGACCTGCAGCCACCCCTGGCTCATTCACTCCAGCCCACAGCCTATAGACTGTCTATGAAGGCAGCTCGATGGTATCGTGACCACCAAGGTGGAAGCCAGGATACCTGCCTTCTGGCCCCAGCTAACTAGTTACTAACTAGTCGTGTGATTTTTTTTTTTAAATATTTATTTATTGGGTTGCCCTGGTGGCGCAGTGGCTGAGAGTCCGCCTGCCGATGCAGGGGACACGGGTTCGTGCCCCGGTCCGGGAAGATCCCACATGCCGCAGAGTGGCTGGGCCCGTGAGCCATGGCTGCTGAGCCTGCGCGTCCGGAGCCTGTGCTCCGCAACGGGAGAGGCCACAACAGCGAGAGGCCCGTGTACCAGAAAAAAAAAAAAAAATTATTTATTTGGCTGTGCTGGGTCTCACTTGCAGCACATGGGATCTTTGTTGCCGTGTGAGAGATCTTCTTTGCGGCATGAGGCATCTTTTAGTTACGGCATGCAGTATCTTTTAGTTGCGGCATGCGTCATCTTTTAGTTGCAGCATACAGGCTCTTAGTTGTGCCGTGCCCGATCTATGTTCCCTGACCAGGGGTCGAACCTGGCCCCCTGCAATGGGAGCGCAGAGTCTTAACCGCTGGACCACCAGGGAATTCCCTGGTCATGTGATCTTGAACAAGGTCTTTAATTTCTTTCTTTTTTTTTTTTTTAAGGTCTTTAATTTCTTTGGGCCTCAGTTTCCTTATGTATAAAATGAGAGGCTGGTAACAAAATACTCTCTGAGGTAAGGTGTCTATCTTTTTTTTTTTTTTTTGGTTATAAGAATCTGAGAATTTCTGACTTGACTATTCCATGGCTTGTTCTTAGCTTGATTTCATGAACCAGTTATTTTATCTCTGGTTCCTGGTCTTTGGCTCTGAACACCTAGGACCACAGAAAAAGTGCCCCAGAAGCTCAGCTACCTAATCAAGATCCATGTGGTGGATGGTGCCAATGTAGGCGACTTACTCATGGTCCTGCCCCAACCTGTGATGTAGCAGGGGCTCTTGTTAGTCAGGATGGTTCCCTCCTTTGGCAGAACACCCAGCTGGACATAGCTGTTGAGGGTAACGTTCTGGGCCAGGCGCAGCAGGGCGATGTCATAGCTGCGGGAGGAAAGGAGACGGCTCGCTTGCAGGACCAGGCCTTCCTTTAAGTCAGCACAGGGACAAGCCCTCCCTAAGCCTTGTGTGCCCATGGAATTGGAAACCAATGACTTCGAAGAAGGAGGGGACTGACTCGCCAAGACTCAAATTCGAGGAACTACGCATTTGGATTGTAGGATATTCTACGTTTAACAGCGGCCCCTGCTGGTGAGGTCTCAGCATTGCCGCCTAGCTCTGGTCTGCAACCCAGGGGGAGTGGAGCTCGCTTCTTTCAGTTGTGAATGGGGACTCGGAAAGGAGCAGAGTGCTTTGATCTTCGTAGCAGAGAAGAGTTCTCAGAGGAGAAAGATGTCAAATGCTCTGCAGAAATATCCAAATTACTTGAACCCACGCTATAGAATTGGCTACCCTCTTAACTACTTCCTTTCCAAAAGTTTACAGCTCAGTCTTGCAGGACTTTTCTCATTGTGAGATTCATTTTAAGAAATCTACTTTTGCTGATGGAGTCTATTCCATAAAATGAATAATAACTAACAATAAAAACAGGAACATTAAACTCTGCAGAGGAGATTCAGGGGATCCAATCATGCAAACCAGCGTAGATCAAACAAATCCCCAAAGATCTTCAAACATTCTCAAGTCCTCCAACATCTTAATTCTCAGAGTCCTCCTGAATGAATGTGAAGGAAGCCAAGACCCCATGGCTGGCCAGTCAGCCCTCCACCTCCCAGCCCCAGGCTAGCCCCGCCTTGCCCCTACCCTGCAGCCACATTATTGCTGTTCCAGTGGGGATGCACCTCGATCCTCTGCACTCTCACGTACTGCTCGGTGCCATCGTTCTGGCTCAGGTTGTGGTCTCCAACCACCACACGGAAGCTCATTTGTCTGGAGGGAGAGAGGGAAACCCTGAGTGATCCTTCTTTTTCCCCTCTTAGAGAAAAGTTGGGAAGCCATCTTACATCTCATCTTTAGGACAGGAATCCATCTTATCTGGCCCAGGCAGTGGAAGGATGGAAGACCCTGGAGGATGAGGAAGTAACCAACCCTCCCATCCCCAATTTGCTAACCTGTGGAAGTGACAAAAACTACCATCAACTTCATGTTCCCAATTTACTAAGCCAAACATCAGAGGCTGAATATCTCATAACTTGGGAGAGGTGTGCTGAGCATAAATGAAATAATGGCTCTCGGCCCATAGAGGGGTTTCGAGGGACATATAAACTTCTAGACCAGTAGTTCTTTTGTTTTTAAAATTTTTTTGTCCACACCACAGGGCATGCGGGATCTTAATACCCCCCGACCAGGGATTGAACCCGTGCCCCCTGCATTGGAAGCATGGCGCCTTAACCACTGGAAGTCCTAGACCAGTAGTTCTTAAAGCATGGTCCCTGTACCAGCAGCATCAATATAACCTGGAAACTTGTTAGAAATGCAGATTCTCAGGCCTCAACCTGGACCTTCCTATCAGAAACTCTACTGGGCTGGGCCCAGCAATCTGTGCCCTGCAGGTGATTCTGATCCATGCTCAAATTTAAGAACAACTGCTCACGATAAACATGAAAAAATGGTTACCAGTCAGGCGTTGACTAGGCACTTAAATATTTACCTACCTAATTCTCACAATAATTCTACAAAGTAGGTAGAGATAAGGGAGGGAGAGCTTGGAGAGCTAAGTAAGCCATCCAAGTTCACATAGCTAGAAGAAGCTGGGACAGGAGGTGAACCTGAGTTTGCCTGACATTATAGTTTGTACTTTCCATTATATCCTACTACCTCCCCGCAGGCCCCCCAACACCTCCTTAAAGTCTTGCCCTGAGCGGTCAAACATACATATTCCTCCAAAAGGACCAGACTCTTCCCCTCCCAGGGGCTCAGAAAAGCTGGTCTTTGTTTTTCTCACTTGTCCACACAGTGAGCAGCTGTCATCACCCAGTTCCGTCTGATGAGGGTCCCTCCACAGATGTGAAACCAGGAACCTCCAGACTGGTACTGGAGGGAAATCTAGATGGGGAGAGAAGAAAAGAGGGATAGGTTGGTGATTCTTGAAAGGCATTGATCCCAGCCATGTGTTACCTCCTTAAACTCCTGCCATACCTCAAAACATTCTCCAACTTTCTGGGCTAGAGATGGCGAATTGTTTTCATTTGACCTTTTGCTGTTGAGGCTACCTGGAGTAGTGGTGAGAAGGGGCGTGTAGATGCCCCTGGGACCAGCAGAAAAGAGTGTTCCGTCATTTGGTGATGTTTGCTGTGTACATGGAAGGGGGAGTAAAGACATACACACACAGTGCATTCAGCATCGTTACCCTATATTATTGCAAAGGGCCAGGAACCCAGGTCCTTCTACCTCCATTCCCTCTTGGGAAGGAAATGTAGCCATGGAATTGCTCCATCACCTAAGCCACAAACTTAGGTCCCCAGAACTCCCCTCCGAAGTTTTGAAGATACACCCTGTCCCCTCACCCCAGCAGATACTTAGAAACACCACCGGAGTATGCATTTTTATCAGTTCATTCCTCCTCCTTCATTGCCTCATATCACACAATAGCTCTACCCCTGAAAATCGGGGCACAAACTTCTATAAATTGAATTTAATTCTAATCGCAGTGATTTCTCTCAAAGTATGGCTATTCACCAGTGAATTTGCCAGTTTTACACTTTTAGAATTGCTTAAGTCACAGCCTAGCTGCCCTATTTTGAAAGTGGAAACTCTTTAAATAGCCAAACGAGCAACGTGCTCCATTTGGGGGCAGAGGTGTGTTTGCATGTGTGACACGAATTGCGTGGAGTGGGGTGTGTGTGTGTGTGTGTGTGTGTGTGTGTGTGTGTGAAGGTGTGTAGAGTCTGAGGTGTGGGTCTGGCACACAGTCTTGCTAGTGTGGCACAAGAGGTATTGCTGGGAGTGTAAATGTGGTTTGTGTTTGGGTGTGTGCCTGGGAGAGTGAGTGTGGTTGGTGTTTAAATCCTTTCCTCCAAGCCTTTTGCACTTAGAAAAAAATTCCTAAGCCTCGTCCCATTCATCTTTTAAAGCTAGAATCCAGGCGGCTGGAGAGCTTCCTGTTGATAAGGATATACACAAACATACATAATATTGCATATCAGGACACGGGCAACTCTTATTTCGTTGGCAGTCTGGGGCTGTGAAGGAACACCCACCTGAGAGGGCCAAGAATGCCTCCGGGCCTCAGTCCCTCCAACTACCCGGGCGTTGGTTTCTGGAAAGTCCTGGGCACTATGTTCTTTGTGGGGCAGAAGAAAAGTGAGTGATGACTAAGCATGGGGTCAGCTCAGGGTGGGAGGGCGGGTGGCAGTTGTGCTTTGTCTGCAAACTCACAGTTCCTCCCTAGCAAATGAGGGGCCCGGCTGTGAGTTCTCTGAGCCCCTTTTGAAAGCAGATAAGTCTAAGTGCCTTCTGCTTTTCTGCTTCCCCTACGTGTCCCCAGAACCTTGGCATGTTACAAGGACCCATCTCACACTGCCGTGCCAGGCCCCAGAGGTTCCTCATGGTCTCAGCCTTGCTTAGGGTCACCCTTGGCCTGAGGTGACTCCCCGCTCCCTACCCCCCACCCCTGACCCCCTCCCACACACACAGTGCTTTGGCGGGATTCTCCAGGGGGCAGGGACAGCAGTGCACATGCCACCAGATGCCCGCTGAGGACGTCTTCCTGTCAGTGGGGTTGGTGGGGGAGCCCAGGGCTCTGGAAGAGGCTTCTCTCTGCTTCATGGCTCAGGGGACTTTCAAGCAGAGGCCCCCGACCTTTTCTATCATGGGCTCCAGGAGAATAAAGTTTTCGCTAGACTCACAGACAGGGTCTCCTTCCCATCCTGGGATAGAGAGCAGACCTGGGCTTAAGGAAAGCTTTCCAACCCTCCTGCTCAATCTCCCTCCCCACAGAACTCCAGCCAGATGACCCACTTACCGTGAAGGACCAGCGTGGTGAACACCAGCAAGCGCAGCATGTTGCCAGCAAGTAGACCACTGCCCCCTTGCCACGAGCCAAGCCCTCTTTAATCTCCGCTTATCAGCAGCTTTGCTGACCTTCCTGTCAACTGGCAGGGCCAGTTGGAAGGCAGGGAAAATCACAGGTGATAATGGAAACACAAATGAAAAGGTTTCTTTTTAAGTAAAAGAATTTGTCTATGAACAAAGACAGAACAAGGTCAGGGCTGAATTAATCATCTCTTTCAGCTGAAAAGCATCCAACTAAGTCTTTTTCAGCAATAAGATGGAACAGCACAGCGAGATCAGCTCGGTGCTTTGTGACCGCCTGGAGGGGTGGGATAGGGAGGGTGGGACGGAGGGAGACGCAAGAGGGAAGAGATATGGGAACATATGTATATGTATAACTGATTCACTTTGTTATACAGCAGAAACTAACACACCATTGTAAAGCAATTATACTCCAATAAAGATGTTAAAAATATATATATATAAAAAAAAGAAATTAGATGGAGAGCCAGGACTGGCATTTCCCTTGGGATGCTCCGCTTGCTGGTAGCCTGCCACCGTCTCACTGCCCTCGGGGGCACTGTCAGTGCAGAGACCTACCCTGTGCACCAGGGGCTGGAGGCATGGGGGGCTGGAGGAGAGAAGTGTGCAAGGAGACCAAGAAGAAAGAGGAGACAGCAAAGAGGGAAACGGCACGCGCCCCCAGGACGCAGACAGTGGTGCAGGTGCAAGGAGACAAAAGCAGCGTAGCTGCAGTGGAGAGAATTCTGATGGAAGAAACCGTGTACCACGGGTTGGGACTTGAACCCACGCGGCTGGGCCTCGAACCCGGCCAAAACCCACAGTCTGCCAACTGAGATCACACACCTGGTTTCAGGACTTAATGAAGCTCAGGTTCTTGATGTCTTATTGCAGAAAGGATTCAGTGAGAGATAAAGTGATAGGTAAGAAGTGGATTTATTTAGAGAGAAACACACTCCACAGACAGAGCGTGGGCCTTCTCAGAAGGCGAGAAAGGCCCCAGAGTATGGGGTTGTCAGTTTTTATAGGAGTGGGTAATTTCATAGGCTAATGAGTAGGAGGAGTATTCCAACTATTTTAGGAAGGGGCGGGGATTTCCAGGAATTGGGCCACCGCCCACTTTTTGATCCTTATGGTTGGTCTTGGAACTGTCATGGCACCTGTGGTGTGTCATTTAGCTTGATGTGTTACAATGAACGTATCCTGAGGCTCGAGGTCTAGTGGAAGTCGACTTGTCTGCCGTCTTGGACCCATTTGGTTCTAGTAAGTTTATGTCGTGTCCTCTGGGCTATGTCATTCTTTCAAAGGTTGTGCTCTGCCCCCTTCCCTCTTGCTTCACTAGGAAACAGGTTTGGGGAGACTCATCTGGAGAGCAGATAAAAGAGAGCTCCCAGAGAAGGAGAGTGTCGGTGAGAAGAGGAAGCCCTCAGGATAGGGAGCTAGTCTGCGTGCTATGAGGGTGGAGAGCAGGGCAGGAGTGTCCTGCAGGAGATGAGAGGCTCTGGCCATCAGAGTCAGGAGAGGGGGACGGAGGGAGGTGCCGCGGACCTTGCGGTGGGCAGAGAACTTTGGGTTGGGAGGTCCCAGAGCAAGGACTGTGGGTGGACTTAGGCTGAGAGAAGCCAGAAGCCCAGGGGGAAGCAGGCAGGAAAGTATGCCAGTTTACCTGGGGGCTTTTGTTGCCTAGACACTCCAGAATTCAAGTTTCAAGCCTGCAGGTGTGGGAGAGGCCTGGAAAAGGCTGAGGAAGGAGTTCTGTACAGACGGTCACCTTTTCAGGTCCTTGAGCTGGGGGTGGGTGTGGGGGGTGATGGGTGGGAATTGCACTAAGGGCTCCCTCTCCAGCCCCACCCCCAACATTCTAACCCAAAGGAGACCCCGGGGGAGGGGGGGGAAGAGTTGAGCTGGCTGGGGAATCCGGGCCTCCTTTGTCATTCTCCACCCGCGCCCCCACCCCCACCCCCCGTGGCCTCCTCTGGAGAATAGGGAGACAGCTCTAGCCCCCAGGATCAGGAGTCCAAGGGGGGGCTCAAGGGCCTCTTAAAGGTTACCCCTCCACATCACAGACTCCAAAGTGAGCCCTTGAGCACAGGGTCAATATCACATCCAACGCTGCACCCTTGGCGAAGCCTTATCTGTATTTGCTTAAAAACCAAACTGTTTAGGATTGCACTCAATGCTCCCAAGCCATTGAGTAATCTACACACCCAGCCTCATCTCCCACGCTGGTCAGACTCTTTTCCTCCTCTTAGGGTGAGGTGTAGAGGAGGGCTTTGGCTTTCATTCTGAGGCACTGCGTATTTTCCAAGAGGAATGTATCTTTTTGAAATAAACACGGGCACAAAAATAAATGTACAACGATGTGGGTTCTAGTGTAGTCTGTCACCAAACTTTGTGTAGTTTGTCATAAAGTTTGTCGCAAAATTGGAAAAAACTCAGTATTCATCAATACTCAGTATTCATGAATACTCAGTATTCATCAAAACTCAGTATTCATCAATAGGGGAAGGTTAGAGAAATTGGGTTTAATCATATTAAGGAATACTACCCAGCTTTTTAAAAAAATAAATTTATTTATTTATTTGGTTTTAATTTTGGCTGCATTGGGTCTTCGTTGCTGCGTGTGGGCTTTCTCTAGTTGCGGTGAGCGGGGTCTACTCTTCGTTGCAGTACGCGGGCTTCTCATTGGGGTGGCTTCTCTTGTTGTGGAGCATGTGCTCTAGGAGCACGGCCTTCAGTAGTTGTGGCTCGTGGGCTCTAGAGCACAGGCTCAGTAGTTGTGGCGCACAGGCTTTGTTGCTGCACGGCATGTGGAATCTTCCCGGACCAGGGATCGAACCACCAGGGCTTCACCACCAAGGAATCCCAATACTATCCAGCTTTTAAAAAGAATGAGTTAGACTTAAATGACCTGACATGAAAAGATGTCCTTGGTATATTAAATGAAGACATCAAGTTTCAAACAATATGGTACTCTGTGTGTGTGTCTTTATATATATTATGTATATTCATAGAAAAAGGGTATAGAAGGTTTATACCTGGAAATTATTACTTTTCTAGAAGTTACTACTTCTAGAGAATGAATCAATAGGTATGGCAGTGTCGTGAGGATCAATTTCACTTTTTCTTTTTTCGTAATTTTTCAGCCATATCGCATGGCTTGCAGGATCTCAGCTCCCCGACCAGGGATTGAACCCGTTTCCCCTGCATTGGAGGTGAGGAGTCTTAACCGCTGGACTGCCAGGGAAGTCCCTTATTTTTGTAATTAAAAATAAGAATATATTCTGGGACATTTATCCATTTTTGGCAATGGCGCCAATACTCTTCAAGTGGGAAATAGATCCCCAGAGGAGATGAGCCACGCAGTGCTAAGGGGAGAGAGGTTCCTGGAGCCAGGAGATAGTAACACAGGGCTGGTTAGCATCAAGCTTTTAAACAAGACTTGGGCGTCCCTGGTGGCGCAGTGGTTATAAATCTACCTGCCAATGCAGGGGACATGGGTTCGAGCCCTGGTCTGGGAAGATCCCACATGCTGCCGAGCAACTAAGCCTGTGAATCACAACTACGGAGCCCGTGAACCACAACTCCTGAAGCCTGCACGCCTAGAGCCCATGCTCTGCAACGAGAAGCCACTGCAACGAGAAGCCCGCGCACCGCAACGAAGAGGAGCCCCCGCTCGCCGCAACTAGAGAAAGTCCGCGCTCAGCAACGAAGACCCGATGCGACCAAAAATAAATAAATAAATAAAAAAGATTTTAAGCAGGACTTAAGGTTTTAGGTTAGCCTGAGAATGGTCAGAGGGGTGGATTTTAATAGTGCAGATGTGGGGTTAGGGCAAGGCCATCCTCGGCTAAGGGGAGGCCAAGAAGCTGGTTTCTTGAGTCCTCCCACCTCCCTGTTCGTGCCCTCTCCCTCTTCTTGAGCACCTCTCTTCCCTAGTCCTCCCTTCACCCCCAAACCTGCTGCATCTCTCAGTCCCCGTGGGTTACCCTTAGCTGACCGCCCTTGCGAGATGCTCTGCTGCTGTGTGGTCGGGGTGAGGAAACTGAGCACCACAGCAGGGCTCCTCAGTTGGGCATGCGTCGTGAGATCGGGCTGGAGAGCTCTTGAGTGATGCTATAGAGAGTATGAGCGATATTAGGATAAATAGCAAACAAACAGTGCCTGGTAAATGTTTGGATGTTGAATGCAACCAAGAGTAGGGCTAAGATTGGAGTTAAGGACTAAGGCTCCCTAGGATTTACTGGACTTATTAGCATGGCATTCAAAGCCTTTTCAGTTGGGCCCCAAGCCACTGTTCTACAGGGCCGACTAACCCAGTAAGCACAGCAGGTACAGTGCCTGAGGCCCACAATACTTTTTTTTTTTTTTTGCCGTACGCGGACCTATCACTGTCGTGGCCTCTCCCGTTGTGGAGCACAGGCTCCAGACGCACAGGCTCAGTGGCCATGGCTCACGGGCCCAGCCGCTCCGCGGCATGTGGGATCTTCCCAGACCGGGGCACGAACCCGTGTCCCTTGCATCGGTAGGCGGATGCACCACCTCAACCACTGCACCACCAGGGAAGCTCCCACAATACTTTTTAGGCCCACAAAAATGTTTCAGTTTCTTTTAAAATCAGAATACAATCATCCTGGATTATATTCGTTGTTACATCAATGCAGTTGTAAAACATACTCTTTACCACTTTTTTAATGAAGGCACAAGTGCCTAGGGCTCATGAAAGCCATAGTGTGGTCCTGACCTTCTAGCTTCTACATTCACTGCGCCCCCACCCTTCAGTCCTCCTGGTTCCCTGCATCCACATGTACTGTTGTCCCTCTGCGACTTTTCTCACACTTGAGACCTTTGCTTACTGAGCTCTTCCTACCTGAGGATCCATCCTTTGAGGTCTAAGGTCAAATGTCACCAACTTTGTGAGGCTTCCCTAAGAATTGTTCTAAGTCATGTAGCACATCTCTGAACATCTGCAGGCTTGGCATGACTTGCTTACCTCTCTGTTTTCCCAGCTGAAGTATGAGTTCCATGGGGGAAGAGCCTTATTATCTCCTCATGTCTACATGTGCTTGACACAGCGTGGAGGCTAAATTGGGGGGCCAGAGGATATTTGGAGACGAGACAGTGGCTGTGACAGAACTTTTCAGACGTGTGTGATTCTTCACAGCTTGAATCAACTGATCCTCCAAACGGATCAGCTAAGGGGCATAGCAGGGGAGGAGGAACCCAGTGCAAACTTCCTTTACCAATGCCATAAAACCTTTATTTCCAGTGGGATCTCACGTGCAATTCTCTTCTCTTTCTGGGAAAGAACTTTTCCCTTTCCCCACTCCAGGACACGTCCTGGCCACTCTCTCCTCTCCCTTTGGCTGGGCTACCCCATGGGACCTAGGAGACTTCCTGCGGCGGGGAGTTGCGTGGGAAGCAGAGGCAGCTGTGGTCCCACGGCACCCTCATGTGGTGCTGTCCAAGAAGACAGCCTGCTACTCAAGTAGGAAGCCCTCCAAGAAGGAATGAGTCCTCTGGGAAGCTGGGCTCTCTACTTCAGGCAAAGCAGCCATGCGTGGTGGGGTCCAACTTGCTTGGGGAAGAGCTGACACGCACGGCAGGTCTGCTCTGTGCGGGGAGTTCACGCGAGAACCGCAGACGAGGCGTCGCGCAGTCGTGCTCCACACTACCTGCTGTCCCGGCTTCTTCAGACTTCCCAGGGCTCTTGTTAGCCTTATCTGGGTCCTAGCCTCAGGGCTGCCGATAGGTGGTTGTGTGGCCTGGGGCAAATAACTTCACTTATCTGGCCTTGGTTTCATAATATGAAAATGATAGGGCTGGACTAAAACGATGATTTTCAAATTGTGCTTGCAGACTTTTAGAAAAGTTCAGGGGCTGGTGGGCAATGCCCTCACCCACCCTCATTTTCAACCGTGGCTATTTTGCTTCTGAACTACATTATACATGGAGCACTGAAAAAAGGTTCTGGGACTTAAACCTGAGAATCACTAGCTCCACAAGTTTTCTTTCAAAACGAACATCTCAGGATTCCTAAATATGGTCTCCCTCACAGCTACCTGGCTGCACTGCTCTAGGCTTTATGGAGACCAGCCAGCCAGAAATGATCAGACTGGAGGGAAGAGAGTGGGGAGCTGATGGCTAGTTGCCTAGTGTTCTTGTGGTGTGGTGGGAGGAGCCCAGGTTCAGGATACAGACCAGCTCCTTTATTTCTCTCTGCCTCAGCATTCTTGTCTATAAAATGGGCACAGTGGTTCCTGTCTTTTTCACGGGACTATCGTGCAGATGAAATGAGATAAAGGATTCCTGTCAAGAAGCTTCAGGTAATGTTAGCAAGGGAGACTCTTAGACCTCTAATTCCTCTGGTAGAATATACCGTTTCACTGGATTCTGTGGGTGTTCTAGATGATGAGGGATTCAGGACGTGGCTGCAGAGGTACTTTTCTTGAAATCAGCATTGCTGCCCTGGGCTCTAGCCCAGCTGCCTCCTCTGCTTTGCAAGTCTGTTTCTAGGGCAGAAGGAGAGCTCTAGGTAACGTATTATGTGTTCTAACGGTCTCTTCCACCAACGTGGAGGAAAGAAAATGGGCCCAATGTTGTTGCAAGGAGTAGGAAGGTCCTGCCTTGATTTGCATCGAGTTTGAAATCCATCTCTAAGGCCGACAGGGAACTGATGATCAGGTTCTCAAACATCAGGTTCCCCCAAATCCTGTTTCCTAAGAGGCTTGTGGGATCTCCCACAGGGGGGTGATCCAGGGCCTAGATGAAGAGCCAGTGCTGGTAGGGATCACTGGGATTGCAGGTGGCCATGGCTGGCTTTCCGTCCTTGGATGTCAGGCAGGTACCAGATCCTGAGTTCCTGATGAGTTGATCCTAAAAAGATGACACGGCAAACGGTCAGCCTGGGCCTCAGACCTCTGACAGTGCTACTAGGGGGCAATGAAATAGGGGTCAGTAGACAAAAGGCAACCCAATGAGGCACAGAGAGGGCACTTCCAAATTCCTTTCCTTGGATGCCAGATACTCTGATGGGATGCATTCCTGAGTTTCCACCTGTGCGTGGTACCAATTCTTCACCCCCAGCTTTAGCATGAATGGCTGGAACAGAGGAAGGCAGGACCATGGGCTCACTGAAAAAGGCTTTCAGGACCACCTCCCACTCCAGATGGCCAGTCTCAAAGACCTGGGCCACTGCTGCCCACCCGCACCTTCTGCCTTTGATCGTGTTCAGACTCCTCCCTTCCCTGTAGCTCCAAGGTTGGGCTCCTCTTTCCCCAAGCCAAGGACTGGGGATTGGGGTGGAGTGGGGTGTGGAGGCTCACTGGGGGCTGCTGGTTTGGGCCCAATCCTGTAGAAGTTACATCGTTTATCCCGAGGCAGTGTGGTGTAATGGAAAGAACCCATGCTTTCGAGTCAGATTTATCTAGATCAGAACCCCAGGCCTACCATTTACTAGTGAAGGGTCTTGGGCCAGTCACAAACTTGCTGAGCTTCGGCTGGCCCATCTCTAGTGGTGGGGACACCACCTACTTGGAAGATTAACCAAACCAATGTATGTGAGTGCATAGCCTTGTGCCCGGCACACAGAGGCCAGGCAGGAACCACAAGTGACTCTTCAACTTCATCTACTTGTGTTCAGCCTATAAATACGTGAGCTACGACACAGCTGGTCCTGGACCATAACCCCGACCCCATCTTTATATCAAGCAGAACCAGCCATCACCAAACCTTACTTAGGCCCTGAGAACCCTGCCTGTGACCAAGCCCACATTCTCCATACTTCCTATTGTACACTGTCCGGATCCACCCCGTAGTATCTCAGGCAGAAGATGCAGAAGGAAGGGAGGGGGCAGTTGTGGTCTCAGGCTCTTGATTCTGAGCTTTCTGGGCCGCTGACTCACCTGGGTGAATTTCCATTCCTCATCCTCGGGCACCTGGCTATTCTTGCCCGTGAAGTGGCAGCCCCTAAGGCCCAGAGTGTCAGCACCAGCATAGAGACACAGCTGCTTCGCAATGTTGTGGCGAAGGTCCCTCTGGGTCGTGTATTCAAAGTACTAGAACACAAGATAAGAGGAGGTCCTGAGGGGCAGGCAGAGAGTTTGCCCACCATCTTCCAAAGCCAACTGCCTTGAGATGCCAACCACAGATGGCCTCCTGGGGAGGAAAGTGAGTAGGTGCCAAGACTTCAGTAATTCATGTGCCACCGCATCTGGGTGATACTGGAATGATAGATAATAGTTACTAAAGGTTTTTTCTTTAGTTAAAAACTTAACTTAGGGACTTTCCTGGCGGTCCAGTGGTCAGGACTCCAAAAAAAAAAGCCTCATTTAAAGCATTATTGGTGAAATCATGTGCTAGTTCTTTTTTGCTAATAGATTACTATTGAAAAAATGTTCATCAGTGTACCACCTAAAATCACCACACGGGCCAGCGGTACAGGAAATTGCTCCAGTGACTTAGTCTTCATTTGAACATCCTGTTGGCATCCTGTTCAGTGGCCCATGCCACTCCTTTCCTTGTTTCAGCTGTTTTTTTTTTTTTTTTTTTTTTGCGGTACGCGGGCCTCTCACTGCCGCGGCCTCTCCCGTTGCGGAGCACAGGCTCCGGACACGCAGGCTCAGCGACCATGGCTCACGGGTCCAGCCGCTCCGCGGCATCTGGGATCTTCCCGGACCAGGGCATGAACCCGTGTCCCCTGCATCGGCAGGCGGACTCTCAACCACTGCGCCACCAGGGAAGCCCTCAACTCTGTTTAAGTGCCTCTTACTTACCAAATGCTGGGCATTCAGGGTAGATTGAGGGGCTGGGTCCAGGGAGGTTATTAGTTATTCCTCAGGGAAGAGCTGGGCATTGTAGGGCATGGGGGAAATTCCCAGGATGTCAGGTAGCTGTGAGATGTCAGTAGGTGGTTGTTTTGGGGTCACTGATGGGTGCTAGGATCATAGTGGTACCTTCTGGGTAGGGAAGGCATTGAAGATAGAAGTTGAGTGTAGCCGAGGGGCTCAAAAATTTTCCACAGTCACCCTAAAACACCATTCAGCAGCTGGCATCCTCCAGGAAGCCTCCTCTGATGAAGAATCCTCCCCTGCCAGGGTGGGGAGTGTGGGAAAACAAAACCCCAACCAAAAACCAATCCTCCCCCCCAGCCCCTCTCTAGCAGCCAGCACTGCTGCCCACTCCTCTCTGGATGCCCCGGTCCGCGCTTAAGACCTTGTCTGTCGGTATCATGCATTCCCCCTCAGACTGGGGGCAGGGCTGGTATCTCCCCCTCTCTCTGGATCTCCCCTACCCTAGTCCTCAGGAAAGGACGATTATGAGCGGAGGAAGGGGGCCTGTGAAGAGAGAAGATGCCCCAGAGACAGGCTCGCCTCGGGCTGGGCTCCGTACCTGGTTGCCGCCAAGGCCATGGCAGGTGTACATGATGAGGGGTTTTCCTCCATTGTTATTCTCTCCCACATCCAGGCAGTGATCCATGCCGAGGTTCTTGAGCTGCAGAATGTTGAGCAGAAAGGGGAACCAGGGGAGCACAGTTAGGAATTTTTCGGTTTGTGGTGTGGGATCCACCTGGAATAAATGTGCACGGCTGGATTTCTCCTCTGTGACTTTCCTCCTCTGCTCATTCAGGCAGATGCCTGAAGTGAATAGTAAAGTGAGGTGCAGAGCCCAGGGGTTGGGCAAGGTCAGGGTGGGCAACCTGCCAGGTCCCTGGGAGAAGCCCTGGGCATATGGGAATGTCCTTAAGAGCAGTGGTTCTCAAAGTGTGATCCCCAGACGTCAGCATCACCTGAAGGCTTGTTAGAAGCGCAAATTCTCAGGCCCCAACCCAGTCCTCCTGAGTCAACAGCCTGCGTCTTAACAGACCTTCCTGGTGATTCTGAGGCCTGTGAGTATTTGAGAACCGCTGCTTAGGGGTTGTTTCCTCCTTACAAGGTTTTTAGCTAGCTCTAGAAGCCCAGGGTGGCCTCTCGGTCCTCCTCCCGGATAAGGGAGCGTGGAGAGTAAAAATCAGTTGTTTGTCATCCAGCTGCGGGGTCAGTGGTCCTGAACTTTTCTCCCCGGGGTTCTGTGATGATGGGCGGGCACATTGGTTCTCAGGACTCACAGCTCCGTAGA